AGAATTGCCTGAACCCAGGAGGCGGAGGTTGCGGTGAGCCGAGATTGGGCCATTGCACTCCAGCCTGGGTAACAACAGCGAAACTCCGTCTCAAAAAAAAGAAAAAAAAAGAAAAGAAAAAAGAAGAAAACCACAAAAATTAGCTGGGCGTGATGGCAGGCACTTATAATCCCAGCTACTCGGCAGGCTGAGGCAGGAGAATAATTTGAACCCGGGCGGCAAAGGTCACAGTGAGCTGAGATGGCCCCACTGCACACCAGCCTGGGTGATGGAGTAAGACTTTGTCTCAAAAAAAAAAGAGTCTTTGATCAGACTGTTGAGTAATTTAAAAAGCTGGCATTTATAGCCAGGAGAAAATTTAACCTCTTGAGGGAAGGCCGGCCCTGGAACAGATACCAGATGGTTTTTTGTTGTTTTTTTTTTCTTTAATTTTACTTTTTTTTTTTTTTTTTGAGATGGAGTTTCACTCTTGTTACCCAGGCTGGAGTGCAATGGCGCGATCTCGGCTCACTGCAACCTCCGCCTCCTGGGTTCAGGCAATTCTCCTGCCTCAGCCTCCTGAGTAGCTGGGATTACAGGCACACGCCACCATGCCCAGCTAATGTTTTGTATTTTTAGTAGAGACGGGGTTTCACCATGTTGACCAGGATGGTCTCGATCTCTTGACCTCGTGATCCACCCGCCTCGGCCTCCCACAGTGCTGTGATTGCAGGCTTGAGCCACCGCACCCGGCAATTTTACTTTTTTTAAAACAGATACCAGATTGTTAACTCCTCTTGTAGACAGGACTCATAAGAGAGAAGACCACCACCCCTGACACCTATAGTTGTTTGCCTGTCCTTCCTAAGGGAAAATCACAAGAGCCTGCATGTGTGGTGATACTTAGGAACTGGGTAAATTTCTCTTTCTACCAGGTCTGTAGTTCTCTTTCTTATCAAAGTAAGAAAGTGCTGCGGTCCTGACACCATGCTTCTGAGAGTCACTATTCAGGGCTAAACTGTATTTTTCTCTAGCTTGAAACCTGGGACCCTGAGAGGGGTTCGGTATCAGAAGGTCAGAGGTGGTCAGGCATGGTGGCTCATTGCTGCAATCCCATCATTTTGGGAGCCCAGAAAGTTTGAGACATGGCGAGATCTCATCTCTACAAAAAGTTAAAAAAAAAAGAGACTACCCAAGATGGCCAACTAGCAGCAGTTCAGGATTGCAGCTGCCAGAGAAGGCTCAGGGAGTGGGTGGACGCCATATTTCCAGACAAATTTTTATTGCCTACGGACCAGGAGATTGCCAGCGCGGAATCTTTTGGCCTGTGTGGCTGTTTTGCTGGCGTCCTGGCGCGGCGGTTCTCAGTGCAGAGTATGCGGGACTGGGTGCCCTTTTAGTTGGCATTTGGAGCTCCAGGAAGGCAGAGTCGCCCATTCAGCTGATTGAAAGGGGGACTGAAGCTGAGAGCCAGACCAGGAGATTCCCAGGCAGAAAAGCGCCACGAATCCCAGCGCTGCTGTTTCAGCCAGCGCGGTCACTGCACGGGAAATTGTATAGATCCTGGCGCCTTTTCGACGGGTGATTGGGGCACCTGGGAGAGAATCGACCTTTCAATTAGGAAAAAAAAAAGGGGAGCTCTGAGGCAGGGAGCCAGGTGATTGGGCTCGGCTGGTTCTACCCTCACAAAAACACAGCAATTGGAAATGCTGATGGTTGAGAGTTTCATAACAAGCACAGCTGAACCCGGGAAGGTCCAGCTCTGTGGGGGAGGGGCGTCTGCCGAAGGAAAACAAAGATACAGAAATAACATCACCACCAACAAGCTGGACGTCCACTCAAAGACCCAATCTGAAAGTCAGTAATCACAAAGACGACAGGTGGATAAATCCACAAAGATGGGAAGAAACCAGTGCAAAAAGGCTGAAAATATCCGAAATGAGAATGCCTCTCCTCCTTCAGGGGATCGCAGCTCCTCATCAGCAAGGGAACAAGGCCTGATGGAGAATGAGTGTGATGAATTGTCAGAATCAGGCTTCAGAAGGTGGATAATAAGAAACTTCTGTGAGCTGAAAGAACATGTTCTAACCCAATGCAAAGAAACTAAGAACCTTGAAAAAAGGTTTGACGAAATGCTAACGAGAATAGACAATTTAGAGGGGAATATAAGTGAATTAATGGACTTATATTAATTCACAATTAATATAAGTGAAAAACACAATACGAGAACTTCGCAGAGTATGCACAAGTTTTAACCATCGAATTGATCAAGCAGAAGAAAGGATATCAGAGGTCGAAGACCAACTCAATGAAATAAAACAAAAAGACAAGATTAGAGAAAAAAGGGTAAAAAGGAATCCGCAAAGTCTCCAAGAAATATGGGACTATGTGAAAAAACCTAATCTACGTTTGATAGGTGTACCTGAGTGTGACGAAGAGAATGAATCCAAGCTGGAAAATATTCTTCAGGATCTTATTCAGGAAAACTTTCCCAACCTAGCAAGGCAGGACAATATTCAACTCCAGGTAATACAGAGAACACCACAAAGATATTCCTCAAGAAGAGCAACCCTAAGGCACATAATTGTCAGATTCACCAGGGTTGAAATGAAGGAGAAAATGCTAAGTGCAGCCAGAGAGAAAGGTCAAGTTATCCACAAAGGGAAGCCTATCAGACTCACAGCAGATCTCTCAGCAGAAACCCTACAAGCCAGAAGAGAGTGGGGGCCAATATTCAACATCCTTAAAGAAAAGAACTTTCAACCCAGAATTTCATATCCAGCCAAACTAAGCTTCATAAGTGAAGGAAAAATAAAATCTTTTGTGAACAAGCAAGTACTCAGAGATTTGATCATCACCAGGCCTGCTTTACAAGAGCTCCTGAAAGAAGCACTACACATAGAAAGGAACAACCAGTATCAGCCATTCCAAAAATATACCAAAAGGTAAAGAGCATCAACATAATGAAGAATCTACATCAACTAATGGGCAAAACAGCCAGCTAGCATTAAATGGCAGTATTAAACTCACATATATTATTATCAATCCTAAATTTAAATCAACTAAATGCCCCAATCAAAAGACACAGACAGGCAAATTGGATAAAAAGCCAAAACCCATCGGTAGGTTGCATCCAGATCCATCTCACATGCAGGGATACGCAAAGCCTCAAAACAAAGGGATGGAGGAAGATTTACCAACCAAATGGAGAGCAAAATAAAATAAAATAAAATAAAAAGCAGGAGTTGCAATTCTTGCCTCTGATAAAATAGACTTTAAAGCAACAAGCAACAAAAGAGGCAAAGAAGGACATTACATAATGGTAAAAGGATCAATGCAACAAGAAGAGCTAATGATCCTAAATATATACACACTCAATACAGGAGCACCCAGATACACAAGGCAAGTTCTTTGACTTATAAAGAGACTTAGATTCCCACACAATAATAGTGGGAGACTTTAACATCACATTGTCAATATTAGACAGATCAACAAGACAGAAAATTAACAAGGATATCCAGAACTTGAACTCAGACCCAGAACAAGACTCTCCACCCCAAATCCACAAAACATCCATTCTTATCAGTACCACATCACACCTACTCTAAAAGTGACTACACAATTGGAAGTAAATCACTCCTCAGTAACTGCATAGCATTTCACAGGTTTAAATAAAATATTGGTTGGCTGCTTGTTTGTTATTTTCCTCCCTTATTCCTTCCTGTCTCCATTGTTAAGCACAATTATTGGCATAAAAGAGGTTTTCAATATCCATTTATAGACTGCATTCTAGCCTGGGCAATAAAGCAAGACTCCCGTTCTCTCTCCCCCTTTCTCTTCCTCTTTCTTTCTCTCTTTTATTCTTTCTTTTCTTTTTCTCTTTCTTTCTTTTTTTTTTCTCTTCCTCCCCCCAAAAAAAGAATAAAATGAAAAGAAATGAATAAAAACACAACTTAGAAAAGGTTATTATGTTACTATTATGTCCATTTACAATCAATATACTTATTTTTTTATTTTTTTGAAGACGGGGTTTCACCATGTTGGTCAGGCTGGTCTTGAACTCCCGATCTCAGGTGATTCGCCTGCCTTGGCCTCCAAAGTGCTTGGATTCAGGCGTGAGCCACCACGCCCGGCCCAATATACTTATTTTTAACTTTTGCCTAATTAAAAAAAAAAAAATCAGCCGGGCATGGTGTATATGCCTGTGGTCCCAGCTACTTGGGAGGCTGAGGTGGAAGGATCACTTGAGGTTGAGGCTTCAGTAAGCCATGTTCACGCCACTGGACTCCAGCCTGGGTGACAGAGTGAGACCCTGTCTGAAAAAAAAAAAAATCAATGAAAGGTTAGAGAGGCATGCCACCTTTTTGTTAAGGGCTTTACCTGTATTCTCTAGTCTTCTAGTTTAACAAACCCTGCAAGGGAGGAGGCATCATGCTCCCACTGCAGATGAAAAGTGACTTGCCTTTTGTACGGGGTCTGGCTTTATGGATGCGTTGTGGCTCTTTTCTTATAATTAGTTCAGAAGTAATGAGTTAATTAGCCTTTGATCTTTGGGTAATAACGAGCTAGTGACTGTCCCAGTGTCAAATTATAGATATGAAAAGTAGTTTCATAGGGCCGGGTGTGGTGGCTCACGCCTGTAATCCCAGCACTTTGGGAGGCCTAGGCAGGTGGATTGCTTGAGGTCTGGAGTTTGAGACCAACCTGCCCAACATGGTGAAACTCCATCTCTACTAAAATACAAAAATTATCTGGGTGTGGTGGCAGGTGCCTATAATCCTAGCTACCAGGGAGGCTGCGGAAGGAAAATTGCTTGAATCCAGGAGGTGGATGTTGTAGTGAGCCAAGATCATGCCACTACACTCCAGCCTGTGTGACAGAGCAAGACTCCGTCTCAAAAAAACAAAAAGTAATTCCATATATTCAGGCTTATATTTTAAGGGGAAGGGTAGTTGATTAGAATGTCCTTTTGCCATGTCTGAAACAAGACCTCTGTGTTGAAAGCTGACTTCCTGAGACCTGCCTAGATGCCCTAGTGTGGTATTAAAACCGGTGAGGAGCTTGGCGCAGTGGCTCTCGCCTATAATCGCAACACTGTAGGTGGCCAAGGCAGAAGGATTGCTTGAGCCCAGGCATTCAGGACCAGCCTGGGTAGCATGTCGAGATGCCATCTCTACAAAAAGAAAAATACCAGCTTGTGGTGGCACATGCTTGTAGACTCAGCTGCTTGGGGGGCTGAGGTGGGAGGATCACTTGAGGCCAGGAGTTTGAGGCTGCAGTGAGCTGTGATTGTGGTACTTGCACCCCAACTTGGGTGACAGAATAAGACCCCATCTTTAAAAAAAAAACACAGTGAAGAATAGGCTTCTATGGTTTTGTCAAGATACTCTTGGTCTTAGTGGGCAGAAAAAAGTGTTTTTTGTTGTTTTTTGGGACAGAGTCTTGCTCTGTTGACCAGGCTGGAGTGCAGTGGCACAATCTCTGCTCACTGCAACCTCTGTCTCCCTGGTTCAAGTGATTCTCCTGTCTCAGCCTCCTGAGTAGCTGAGATTACAGGTACATGCCACCATGCCCAGCTAATTTTTGTATTTTTAGTAGAGATGAGGTTTCATCATGTTGGTCAGGCTGGTCTCTATTTCCTAATCTCAAGTGATCTGCCCATCTTGGCCTCCCAGATTGTTGAGATTACAGGCGTGAGCCACTGCACCCAGCCAGAAGAAGGATTTTTAAACTCCTGGGCTAGGCACTGGTGGCTTTAAAAATCTGTCCTTTTGATCCCTTGATCAGTAAAGGAAACTGATTATCATGAATTTTCTGCTTTTTGCTACTGGTAAGATATGTTACATCCGGGACTGCCCAGCTGCAAAACCACTGCACCCTCACCCCTGCCTCTTGTTCATAGGTTGTGGAGCATGGCCTGTTTGTCAAGCACTGCAAAGTTGAGGTGTATTTGCTGGAACTGAAGCTCTGTGAGAACAGTGACCCCACAAATGTGCTGAGTTGCCATTTCAGCAAGGCAGACACCATTGGTGAGAGGCTGGGCTGGGGTCACTGGTAGGTGGTGAGAGAGTGTAGGACATTGTGGCTGATGGGAGGGAAGCTGCGGTGCCCTCTTTAGATTTGTTACCCAGATCCTCTCGAGCTGTGGTTGCCAGTCCTAACCTGGGAGCCTATTCCCTGTTCTTACGGAGAGAACTTTGGGCCTGCTCCTTGGCCATTTGTCTGTGATGATGAAGATAAAGAAATGTAATTCAGAGAAGTTTAAAAGTAACTTATTTAAAAATCTCAGCAAGGTTTACAGTGAGCTGCAGTCCCATCACTGCACTGCAGCCTGGGCATCAGAAAGATCCTGTCTTAAAAAAAAAATCACGGCTGGGCATGGTGGCTCACGCCTATAATGTCAGCACTTTGGGAGGCCAAGGTAGATGGATCATGAGGTCAAGAGATTGAGACCAGCCAGACCAATATGGTGAAATCCTGTTTCTACTAAAAATACAAAAATTAGCTGGGTGTGGTGGCACACATCTGTAGTCCCAGCTACTTGGGAGGCTAAGACAGGAAAATTGCTTGAACCTGGGAGGCAGAGTTTGCAGTGAGCCAAGATCTTGCCACTGAACTCCAGCCTGGGTAACAGAGTGAGACCCTGTCTCAAAAATAAATAAATAAATACATAAAAATAAAGAAAATAGATAAAGCCAGAAAGTGGCAGAACTAGCTTTTGAAGCCATATCTGAGTTGACTCCAAAGATAAGTCTTCTTTTCTATGTTGCTTTTGTGCTATTAATGAGACACACGTTAGAGAAGGAGAAGCATAGGGAGACTTTCCAGGTATGAGTGCAAGAGGCCACCCATGGGAGAAGATTGGCCTTAGGAGTCATTAGGGGGTTGACCCAGAGCACCTGTGAGGATCTGAAAAGGCAGGAAGATGAGCATTAGTTTGTCATGGCTGTCTTTAGCCTTGCATGTGGACAAAGCCTCAAGCGATGTTTCTCCCTGTTCCTAGCAACCATCGAGAAAGAGATGCGGAAGCTGTTCAACATCCCTGCAGAGCGTGAAACGCGGCTCTGGAACAAATACATGAGCAACACCTATGAGCAGCTGAGCAAGCTGGACAACACTGTCCAGGATGCTGGTCTATACCAGGGTCAGGTAGGAGGGCTCAGGCCATTCCCCAGCAAGTAGCTTTGCCAGTGTGTGTGGCCAGATACTTTCTGCTTCTAAGCATGTTGGAAGTGTGGTTTGAACTCTTCATTTGATTTCCCCTTTCACTCAGGTGCTAGTAATTGAGCCTCAAAATGAAGATGGCACATGGCCCAGGCAGACCTTGCAGTCAATGTAAGTGAATGTTTTTTCCCTTGTCGTAGGTTCACATGTGTAAAAGAGACAGTCTTTCCTAAGGCAGTACTTGTACTAAGAAAAATTAGTCTGATAATGATGAAAAATGCTTATTCAGTTGTGTATCCAGAGTTCATGCTCCTGGATGAAGACCCTGGCTTTTGATAGCATTTAAGGGAAACCTGTCAGGATATCTGAGGGATCAAGTGGTCAGGGGTTCAAGACCAGCCTGACCAACACGGTGAAACCCTGTCTCTACTTAGAAGTACAAAAATTAGCTGGGTGTGGTGGCACACACCTGTAATCCCTGCTACTTGGGAGGCTGAGGCACAAGAATCACTTGAACCTGGCAGGCGGAGGTTGCGGTGAGCCAAGAGTGTGCCATTGCACTCCAGCCTGGGCGATAGAGCAAGACTCCATCTCAAAAAAAAAAAATAAATAAAAAATAAAAGGCCTGATGTGGTGGCTCGAGCCTGTAATCCCAGCACTTTGGGAGACCAAGACGGGTGGATCACGAGGTCAAGAGATCGAGATAATCCTGGCCAACATAGTGAAACCCCGTCTACTAAAATACAAAAAGTAGCTGGGTGTGGTGGCGCATGCCTATAGTCCCAGCTACTCGGGAGGCTGACGCAGGAGAATTGCTTGAACCCAGGAGGCGGAAGTTGCAGTGAGCTGAGATCATGCCTCTGCACTCCAGCCTGGTGACTGGCGACAGAGCAAGACTCTGTCTCAGAAAAAACAAAAGTGATAGTTGAGGCCCAAGCACAGTGCTTTATGCCTGTAATTTCAGAACTTTGGGAGGCCGAGGCAGGTGGATCACCTGAGGCCAGGAGTTTGGGACCAGCCTGGACAACATGGTAACTATCTGTTGCTACTAAAAATACAAAAATTAGCCAGGTATGGTGGCAGGCACCTGTAATCTTAGCTGCTCGGGAGGCTGAGACTCAAGTCGCTTGAATCCAGGGGGTGGAGGTTGCAGAGAGCCAAGATCATGCCACCGCACTCCAGTCTGGGTGACAGAGCAAAACTCTGACCCCCCCCACCCCCCCCCAAAAAAAAAGGTGATAGTTTGATTCCACCTGTCTCTGCCCAGTGGCCTGTTACTCATTGTTGCCTTGGGAGCTTGCTGGGGGAATTGTTCAGCTACAAAACTTGGACTACAGACACGTCTATCTCAGGAGATGTTCATGTGGTATGTGGAACTGTGCATGTTCTTAGGGAGATAAAGAAGTGATGAATTTTTCTTATAGTATAACTTTTGGAAATTATATCTGTGTTCCAGTAGTTATGGGAACAATATTGGGCTCTGTCCCTTTCCCTCTGTCAGGCCTTGGACTGTGACCATTACATAGTAGTGGGCTTCTAGCTCATTTGAAAACCATGAAAACTGAGCTCTTAAAAGAAGTGTTAGACCCCCTGAAGCCCAGTCATGGACTCCAGTTTAAGAAACCCTGGTTGCTGTTCCTGACAAGATGAATAAAATTGCGTGGTAGGCATAACCGTGCTCACCCTCACCCCAAGATGTCCATATTCTAATTCCCAGCATCTGTTTCACAATCTGTGACTATGTCGGGTGACATGGCAAAAGGGAGTTTATAGATGGGATTAAGCACAATGGTGGGTGCCTGTAGTCCCAGCTACCTGACAGGCTAAGGTGGGAGCATTGCTTGAATCTAGGAGTTTGAGGCCGCGGTGAGCTGTGATTCCGCCACTGCACTCCAGCCTGGGCGACAGCAGCAAGATGTCATCCCCATTTAAAAAAAAAAAAAAAAAAGAAGAGCCTGTAGTCCCAGCACTTTGGGAAGGCCGAGGCAGGTGGATCACAAGGTCAAGAGATCGAGACCATCCTGGCCAACATGGTGAAACCCTGTCTCTACTAAAAATACAAAAAAATTAGCCAGGCTTGGTGGCATGCGCCTGTGGTCCCAGCTACTTGGGAGGCTGAGGCGGAAGAATCGCTTGAACCTGGGAGGCGGAGGTTGCAGTGAGCCGAGATTGCGCCACTGCACTCCAGCCTGGAGACTCCGTCTCAAAAAAGCAAAACTCTGTCTCAACAATTAAAAAAAAAAAAAAAAGGCCGGGCGCGGCGGCTCAAGCCTGTAATCCCAGCACTTTGGGAGGCCGAGGCGGGTGGATCACGAGGTCAAGAGATCGAGACCATCCTGGTCAACATGGTGAAACCCCGTCTCTACTAAAAATACAAAAAAGCAGCTGGGCACAATGGTGGGTGCCTGTAGTCCCAGCTACCTGACAGGCTAAGGTGGGAGCATTGCTTGAATCTAGGAGTTTGAGGCCGCGGTGAGCTGTGATTCCGCCACTGCACTCCAGCCTGGGCGACAGCAGCAAGATGTCATCCCAAAAAAAAAAAAGAAACAAACAAAAAAAAAAATTTGTTCACCGGTGAGTAAAGGCAAGCCATATAGTGAGAGAAGATATTTGTAATACACATCTGACAAATTGTGTTCAAAATTTTTTTGGATTTCCTGAGACAGAGTCTCGCTCTGTCACCCAGGCTGGAGTGCAATGGTGCCATCTCAGCTCACTGTAACCTCTGCCTCTCAAGTTCAAGTGATTTTGATGCCTCCGCTACCTGAGTAGCTGGGACTACAGGCACCCATCACCATGTCCAGCTAATTTTTGCATTTTTAGTAGAGATGGGGTTTTACCCGTTGGCCAGGCTGGTCTTGAACTCCTGGCCTATAGTGATCTGCCTGCCTTAGCCTCCCAGAGGGCTGGGATTATGGGCATGAGCCACCACTCCTGGCCCTATATCCAGAGTATCAAAGAAACTCCTAGTCAATACTAAAAAGTCAGACAACAACAGTAAAAAAAGAGGCAAAAATAATAATAATAAAATAAAATGAAATAAAATAAAGAGGCAAAAAATGTAGAATTATATGCACATTCTGCTACTCAACAATCCTCTTGCTAGACATTTAACTAATAGAAATATATCCCATGTTCTCTTAAATGCATATTTCAGGATGTTTGTGCTAGCACTGCTTGTCATAGTCACAAACTGGAGCTAACCCAAATGTCCACCAAAAGTAAATGGATAAACTACAGTAAGTGTATGCACACAGTGAAATCCTGTATAGCTATGCACAATAGTGATGAGTCCTATGAAAAATGATGAATGAACGAAGGTGGACACAAAGCAGGGCATAATGATTCTGTTGAAATAAAGCTTTATAACAGGAAAAATTAACCTTGGGGACTCCAGGTCAGGACTGGTTAGTGTTGGAAAGAATTGTGACTGAAGTGTGAGGAGGACACCTATGGGCCTGGGGCTTGTCCTGCTTCTTGGTTGGGGTACTGGTTACATGGATGTATCACTTGGTGTAAATTTCTTGATTTATTCACTCATGAAAAAATAAGAGCCTCAGTCTGTCACCCAAGCTGGAGTACAGTGGTATTATCATGGCTCACTGTAACCTCCATTTCCTGGGTCCAAGCAATTCTTGTGCCTCAGCCTCCCGAGTGGCTGGGATTACAGGTGCATGCCACTCACACATAGCCAATTTTTGTATTTTTAGTAGAGACCAGATTTTACCATGTTGGCCAGGCTGGTCTCAAACTCCTAGCCTCAAGTGATCCACCTGCCTCAGCCTCCCAGTGTGCTGGGATTACAGTCCTGAGCTACTACTGTGCCTGACCACTATACATTCATGAGTTATGTATGTCTCTATGTAATACTTCAATTAAAAGTTTAATAATAGGTGGGGTGCAGTGGCCAACATGGTGAAACCCGTCAACAACAACAACAACAAAATTGTCCGGGCATAGTGGCTCACACCTGTAATTCCAGCACTTTGGGAGGTCAAGGTGGGCGGATAATGAGGTCAGGAGATTGAGACCATCTTGGTCAACATGGTGAAACCCCATCTCTACTAAAATATAAAAATTAGCTGGCGGCGGTGGTGGTGTGTGCCTGTAGTCCTAGCTATTCGGGAGGCTGAGGCAGGAGAATCACTTGAACCTGGGAGGTGGAGATTGCAGTGAGCTGAGATCACACCACTGTACTCCCACCTGGTAACAGAGCAAGACAATGTCTCAAAAAAAAAAGTTTAATAATAATAGGGTTTAATAATAATAGGCCAGGTGCATGAAATCCCATCTCTATTAAAAAACAAGAAAATTAAGTGCAGTGGCATAAACCTGTAATACTGCCTCCTGGGGAGGCTGAAGCAGGAGAATGGTGGTAGGGATTGCAGTGATCCTAGATCATGCCAGTGCACTCCAACCTGGGTGATAGAGTGAGACTGTCTCAGGAAGAAAATAAAAGTACAACAATAATAATAATAAGCTTTAAGAAAGCAACTAATATCTGTAATATTCCAGAGGTAAATTCTGGGTAATGCCAACATAGGTGAGGGGCAGGAGCTAGTATAGAGCAGACCAGAGGAGAGAGAGTTGAGAATGTCCTGAACTGCTATTCTTGGGGGTGAGAAAGGTGAACAGTTATAAGTTTAAGTAATTTATGGGGAAAAATAAAAATAGAGATCCTAATAAGGTAATAGAACAACTAATAGAAATGGAAAATTGAATGTATAACTTTGAAACATGCTGTGTCAGGAAAGGCTTTCTGGCAGATAAGAAAAAACTGCAAATTAGCATGTTAAGCAAGATGGAGGCTTTCATCTTTCTGAAAATAATTTCTGATGTAGGCAGTCAATCCATTGCTGATATAGCAGCTCCATAGCATTATTAGAAAACCAGCTGTTTTGTCTTTTTGCTTTACTGTGTGTGGCTTCTCCTTCTACTTCAAAGGTGGCTACTTCTGGCCCAGGTGACTGCTAGAACTGCAGTAATTGTACCTGCATTCCAGTATTGGGGAGAGAAAAGAGGAAAGGAGGACCTACCCCTTCCTTTTTAGGACATTTCCCAGAAATCATACATCAGACCTTCCTTTACATCTCAGTGGCCAATCATGACAATACCTGGCTTCCAGGGATGCTGGGATGTACCGTATAGCAGGACTGCATCATGTCCAGCTA